AACTGCGTGGCAATGAGCCAACGTCCGCCGGTGGCATCATGTCCCCGACAGCGGAGTACCTCACGGCTGACCGCCTCTGACAATTTGTAGGCAGACAATTCGGAGGGCTGCGTTTGAAAGTTTTCTTTGGTGCAGAATATCCTGAAAACAGATGACTCGTAACAAATTCAAACAAGTTCCCTTCCATGCTGGACAAACACACAGAAACAACATGTATCAAACATTCTGTTGGCTAAAATTCGCTTCCTTTTGACTTATGGTCTTGTTATTCACAGAATATCGGTGCCATGTAGGTTTTGTTACTTGTGTGTAACGATAATTATTTATGATGCATATCGGTTAAATGTACATGATGGAAGGGGTGTTGGCACATATATGTGAATCCAAACATCTGTAAAGTACGAATAGAGCTTCATCAAAAATGGAAATTGCCCAGTGAAAGTGGAAGTAATACAGAAAGTGGGAAATAATTGGAAAACAAGGGTAAATAATGCAGACAGAGAGTAACGAATGAAGAAGCGAAGGAGACATTATGTGTACAAAAAGAGGAGTTGTGGACAATACGGACAGTGCTAGGTATTTGTTGCATCGTTGTCCAACATCAATAACGTTATCGTATGAAACCGGTAGTTTAGGATCTCTAGCATTTGGTTCTTAGTGATTTGGTCTCGTCATTCGGTTTCCTCCTGTATTTGCTAATGAAAATTGTTCATCGTGATTGTTTTTAGCTTCAACGAGTAGAATGATTTAGTAAGTTGTTGTTTGTAACTTGTCGCTTGAGTTGGTTAGAAATTTACGGGTTACCGTGAAGATTAAAAGTCTTTCGTGGCTCCTCTTCATGTAGGTGTCGGAATAGAGATATCAAAATAGTGGGAAAAGGTGTATTCAAGGTTCCCGAAGAGTTAAAGTATATAGTATCAATCCAGTTATTAAAGAAGAGTCAGTAGATGATCAAAAACAGAAAGATACTGAGTGGTCAATAAGATGAGAGTACTAGTAAGCTAGTGAAGTCGGTAATAGGTTAAGTACGTTGCTGATAAGCTATATGAACTAACGTAGTGTTGAACCTTCTTCTAAATAGGTCTACTGAGGGGGGCTACGGACTATATCTTGTGGTGAAACACTGCATAAAGCGTATACTTGTAAGATGAAGACATTTAACCTAAGTCTGCTTTTGCCTCCCTGATTTACTGTCCTGACAAGGTTCCTTCATGATGACCGACATGTTGCAGGTAAGCTTAGTTTGATGGCGTGACTTGCCTGATGGATGATCTTGTAAGTTATAACTGGGCCACGTCCCTTTCTGTGACAGATCAAAGTGAGTGGGTTTAGATGCTTCACTCTGTCAGAGTATGTCTTCCCCTTAGTACCACAACTGATCTTGTCCCATATCTTTGTATTTTCTCAAGAAGATGGGAGTCTCTCTTGATAGTTGCGGGTGCTGCCTTATTAGAGACTTCCAGATGCGGGAGTAAGTAGTATTTGAAAACCGCTGAAAAGAGTTCAGGGGTAACAGCACCTAGTGTCTACCCAGAAAGTGTAAGGGGACATTCATTCTGGATGCCATTTCTTTGTAATCAGAGCTGGTTTTCAGGGTGTCTGAGCAGTTGAGCTCCGGGTCTTTTCCCTTGAATAGTTTGTTGATAGCATGATTACTCATTTTGTATTCGAATTCGTCCACCGTTGCTACGTGGATGCTGATGTGCATTACTTTTCACTTTTCTAGGTTGAGGCTCAAGCCGTTTTCTGATGTTGAGAGTTCTATTTTCTGCAGGTCATTTTGGAATCCTCTACTGTACGCCTCTTACTACCCTCCAAATTTTAATGTCATCAACAGAGAGGAGGATGGGTGAGAAAATTTTGTGTAGCAGATCGTTGCTGAGTAGAAGGAACGGAACTGGCCGCAGGATTGCTCTTTGAGATATCCCAGATGTCGATGGTCTCCATTCCGACAGTATTCTGTTTTCTTCGGTACAAAACTGTCTAACTTCTATGTATGGCTTAAACCAAGAAAGCAGAGGTTTGCTTTTGCAAGCTGATGCGATCTTATGGAATAGGACTGTACGTGAGACACTGTTAAATATCTTAGGTAGGTCGAGAAAAGTAAAATGTACCGATTTTCTGCTGTCTAGCTAAACTTGAAGTCGTCAGAGAATCAGCAAGTTAGTGGTACATGAATGACCACCCCAAAAGCTATGCTGAGCAGTATGGGCGGTATTTTTCCTGTTAAGGAATTCTTAAACATGATAGTAATCAGGCGTTCCAATGCTTTGGACAATATAGAAAGTGAGGCAATCGGTCGGCAGCTGTCATGAGGTTTTCTATCTCCTCCTTTGCAAAGTTGGTGACAAGATTGCGCACATCCATTCTTTAAGGAGTCTGCTTGGCCCTAGCAAGTGCCTACAGAAGTTCCAGATTGGCAGTCCTTTAGAGCTACTGGTCTCAGGTCATCACAGCCAGGGGATTTGCCTGGACGGAGGCAGGATAGTTTTTCCGATAATCTTTTCCGTGTAATGGGGATATGGCAAAGGTATTTGTTATTTATGGTCTGATCGCTATCTTATCGTACTTGTGTAGGTTTAGTGTCAGAAGTGATAAGTTGCACCTTGAAGTGCGGGGTCAAAAGCTCAGCTATCTCTAGACTGCTTAGTACATCTCCACTGGAAATTGTGGTGAAATTAACTCTTCTGCTGGTCGACTTCCTTTTCTGTGCGAAATGGTACAGGTTTTTGGGGTTACTTTGTAAGCTCTTCATCAAGTTTGTGTCACTAGGGTCACTTATATTACAGTGCTTGCGAATTCTTCCGTAGCTCAAGAATTCAGACTCCCTAAGTAATGAACGCCACCAAAAGTAAGCTTACTTTTCGGTCTCGATCCATGAGATTCTCACTGATGGTCGATGTGTTACATCCCGCAAACTGTGACTGGTGACCCTAAGGATTACTTGCTTCACTCGTGTTCATAGTTCATCTGTTGTGAAACGAGTCCATTCCTTAGGCCATGATGAACTGATTTGGTAATTTCTGAGTCTCATAGTTGGCTTTGCTTTAGCAAGGGAAGATATTGGTTATCCTTCATTCCTGAGCCTTTCGAGTTATCATGCAGAAGGTTATTACTGCGTCATTATCAGGTCTCAAGGGACGACGTCAACGAGAAGATAATCGTTCATCAGAACATAGTTCAGGCGTGATGCATTTCCGTTAGGTTCCCAACGTGTGTCGTCATCCATATTTTCTGAGTGACTGGCCGTCTTAATTACATTTTCCAGTCTCTGAATGAAGCATCTGGTTTATCTTGCTTCTGTCTGGAAGAAGATATACAGAGGTTTCCAGCCGCCGGTGGTGATTATGGAGTCGTGATCTGCAAGGGTTGTGGCCAAGAAAGCTTGGGTGAACACTTCCTTATGGGTAGGAGTGCTAGTAAGGGACCTATATATGACTCCAAGCAAGTATTTGGTGAGATTTGCAGTGAAGTAACATTAAAAACATCCCGGGAACTAATTGAGAGCAACATAGCTCTTCGCTCTCGCCTTTAAACGGGAGCTTACGAATAGAGCCACTCGACCTCCCTTCCAGGCTCTCTGTCCCTGAAAAAGAGTTCCATGTCAGTAACATGCATCTGTCTGTCAGAAATATCCTTCTTAGTCTCCTAACGTTGATGTAAATACATGTCAGGGTGTGCTGGATTGCAGAAAAGGATTGCTTGCATATTTCTCTGAAGGAAGCAGTTACGTAGTTGGATTCCAGTAAGGAACCGCCAGTTACCCCAGGAGTAGCATCGCTCCGTTGTTTGGTGCTTCACTTTCAGTTGGCTGGGTGGAAGTGTACTGTCGGAAGTCTCAGTACTTGATGTAGTTGACTCATCAACTTGTGCCTATGTGACTAACAGTGACTCAAGAGGTTTCGGCGATTGCCATCTGGCCCACTGGTCTGATCACTTCACCAGATAACAAAACTAGCTGTCGTACAACAGGCATAGTTCAACATCTGTTGAAGAGACAATTTAGAAGGTTTCCGGCTGGATTTTGATTTGTTGTTCAGTGAAACACAGTTTGCCATCCTGTCATAAATAAGCTTCGAGTTTCTCTTCGGACACTGATATATTCAAAACCAATGGAAAAACATATTCAGTTATCAGCAGAATGATTTCTCTACTGTTTATCATCTGATTTCGGTAGTGTTTTTTCATCAGGAACCCACCAGTCATTTGATTTCCACAGGGAATTATGAGCAAGACCTCAGCTTTCAGAAGACATACACAACAAGGATACATAATTATTTATTGACAAGGTAATTTGAAATAATTCTGTGATTGTATGGTGGGCATATTTTCAAATCTAACTTGTATACTCCTCAACGTGTATCAGTTTTCCTGGTCTCTTGTTTAAAAACAATTGATAAAGTCAATTATAACATACCAACAAGACGATAAGGGATGTAATAAAATCTAACATATGGTGTATTAGAAGATATTTTTCTGTAAGTCAAAATAACAGCATACTCTTCAGCCATTTCTATCCACTTTCTTCTACATCCTTTAGCTTGACATAGGCATCGACGTTAATCAAGTAAGTTGGTTACTAGTAGTAATATAAGTAGTATATATATATATAAAGGTATTGGCATAAATAAAAGTATGAAATTTTTTCCATTAGGTTCATAGTTTTGTCTGATTTTTATCTTGGAAACAAAATGTATGTGTCTAAGAGGTGGAGGTGTGGAGGGTAAAAGAAATAGGTATTTTAAACAAAACAAATCGAAATTCAACCGTGCATTCATAAAAGAATGGCATGCAAAACTAGTTTTCAATGAAGTTTACTCGTAAACAAATATATATATATATATGAAGAAAAGCCTATAAACGTGAAGTTTTACGTTTGCAAAAACACATATGAGCAGTATCAGAGTAAGAATAATCATTGAAAAAACGAAAGAAGATTAAACATATGGTGAAATGCATCGTTCACAACAAAACAAAATAAAAATAAATAAAAATCAACTGGAAGTAGGATAAATTGGATTTTCTAATAGTTTCTCTCTTGAAGAAACTATCCTTACTAATAATTAACTTCATTACTGTTTTCTGCTGACGATTAAATGAAGATAAAAGTGTTCGTTTGTTTTTTTTTATACCGTTTTCTATATATTGTAATGATTAGTGTTTGTTTGAATGGGGTAAAAAGATAAATGTTTATAAATTCAAATTTTGGCGGGAATTTTGTTTGAATTTATTGTTTATTATCATGATAAAGTTGAGTTGCCATTATATCACCTGTAGACACTGTTTGAACAGCAATAGATACAGCATTCATTTCAGATAATGAACTTGATGTCCCACTGTCATCTTTTGATGAAAGATTTGTTCTGTGTCGTATCAATTCTGTTTGACCAGTGGATGAAGTAACCAGACTATAGTGTCGTTCATGGGTATTGCTAGTCTTACTGTTATTATTCTTTATACGACATGGTTCTGAATGTGTCTGATGACTAAGTTCTGCTGAATGACTTGAATCACATACTTCAAAGCATGAAGATTTAGAATTCGGTAGATTTCTTGTCTCATCTTTATTATTGCTTGATTTTAAATGAATATTAATTACACGTTCCATTTCTTCTTCGACTTCATCAGCTATGAACTTGATATCAATTGGTAAATGTAAGCCTTCTTCATGAGCTATCGGTGAAATAAGTGGTTCTTCGGTTTCATCAACCTCTTCATCTCCGTCTAAACCATACTCTGAGTCAGAGTCATTATCTAAATGATGATTTTGATGTGATCTAGACAATTCTTTGTCTTTACATGTACTATTCTCCACAACATAGTCTTCAATCTCCTCTTCCACCTCTGTATCATCACCATCAGCAATATTGCTATTATTTTCACCGATATTCCCAGTATCATTCATAGTACTAATACCAATATCACGTGATCTAAACTTTGTATTTTTATAATTCTGATAAACACCATTACGTCTTTCAGTATCCAGTTCATATGAACTATGTGTACTATGCAAAGTATTCCGATGTCCATTAGATATATTCACCTTTTTCATATGCATTGTATTCATCCTAGATAGTGCTCCAAACTTTTCCACATTTTCACGATCACATTCTTTCCATACATGAGTGGCACGCCATTTGGCACGTGATTCTTTCGGTGCAAGAACCGCATTGAAGTATAAAAGTTCATCCACCTAGAGAGAAAAAAAATCACAAATAACAGGAGAACTCCATAAATTTTATGCTTTTTTACTACTTCTTATCTAGCTAATATAATGAAATTATCTTTCGTTAATTGTAATCTTGAAAAAAGGATTTTGCGAAGTACGAATTACTTTTTCAGTAGTTTTACACTACTTACAGTTTATAAAAGTAGTATATATTTTAGCTTGAAACTTCTGGCGAGTTGAACATTTCGGGGTCTTGAGCTAATGTGAAGTGAGTTGGGTTACGCTTTGATGGATCTCATCACAGACTGCTGAAGAAAACCAACTGATCTCTTTAAAAGCTGTTTCAAATTAGTCTTGCTTAACAGAAAATAAAAGCATCTTGGAAACTTTCTGCTTAAAGTGACTGAACCTCTGTTTCGTGTCATTTCTGTCACTTCCCATATAGCAAATCTCGATCGACAGACTTCCAGCAGTACTAAAAGCTAAGAGCACATTAGTTACCCACCATCGCTTACCAACTTGCGTACATAATCAAGAAGGGTCAGTCGTGATCTGGAAAGCTTTGGGATTAAGCCCATGAGTTATGGTTCGAATAACCAAACAAACAGTATTTTTCTCATTGGCACAAATACACCTTGCTCATAAGCCTCAACAAACGTGGAACTCAGGTCGAGCAGAGGTTTCGCCGATTTACTTCTCCTGTCGAGAAACAAAACTATAACTTCTGTCAACAAGCTGCTCTTAATGTCACTATTAGGATTTTTTCTAATTTATAGTATTTTCTACAATTAAATTCTTTTGAATGTATTAAACTAAAAAATGGCTAAAGTTAGTAACTTGGATCATGTAGATATTCGATTATTTCGACGTCTTTGACACTGGTAACGGCCATTTTTATCTATAAAAGATATACTACTCAATAAAATGCTTAGTAACTTGATAGATATAGTGTAATTTTCGTAAGAGTTTCTTACCGTCAATTTCAAGTTATCTTCAAAAGTAATGTAAATATATCATTCGAAAACCGCTTAATATTGAACTCTTCACTGATAACAGTTAAATCTATCGAAAAATTTTTCTCTCGTCTTAGAAATATGCACACTTGGATCTGTGACTGGAAGAAAACTAATGAAAAAGGGTTCAACTTGCCAATCAATAGTTCATGTTCACATTTTTTTTCATATCTGAGTAGGTCTTGAACTGTTTAATTGCACAGCTAATAGACTTTCTATTCCGTACAGAAGGGTTTCATGAAATGACAGAATATCCTACTGAACAGCATGAGTCATTAGTAAGCACTCTTGCTGAGATACAGATTTCATTAATCAAATCTGTATGATCTAAATACTGAAAATATGGTCCACTTGTTTAGTGGCCAGCTCATCAGTGATATAGTCACAGGAATCCATCGCATAAGGTAGCTAACTTGTCAATATGAATCAAGCGAGGTGTAAATACTTTACAAATTTCATGAATTTCGATCCTTGAATAATAACAAAGAGGAGATTGAAAATTCCTACTGGATGGTGATGAGACGGTCACCTTTACAGTGCCTACATGTACCGTATGCAGTTTAAAGTAGTTTCACTTTAGTTTTCTTCAAAGCCTCATGTTATTTGAAGGGCTATTGAGGACAAGGAAACACTCTTTATAGTTATATCATCTGTGTTTGAGACTATCAAGTAAGATCGAACCCGGTAGTAAATTGAAATGGGTTTCTGTAGAATCTGCTGAAACATTTTTGACTCTGAAGGGATAACAGATGGCTGTGATGGCAAACTTTCAACCGAATTAAGAATTCATTTGAAGGTTTTCAGGAATTTATTACCATCAAGTTGATGTTCATTATGAGTACACAATGTTGAGGAGTCTCATTTTGGGACGAAACAGCTGTACACTGATCACAGGTTTTCAGTCGTTCTCATACAACTGATGTTAGTTCGTGATGAATGCCGCCTCAAAACTAAAACTACCATTAACCTCAGAATACATTCCCGTTTAGTTCTGATGAGAAGCTGTGAACTGTGAGGTCGACCAGATGGAAGTGAAGCGAATAACAAAATGATAGTCACACTATAACACGGATTGAAATAAGTAGCAGTCTATGGACACACTCAAAGGGACACCCAGAAATCCTGGGTTATATGCCTGATGGAGTCTTGGGTGTGTACCGTTGTGGAGTTTCATATTAGGGCAAAACAGCTGTCCAGTACTCCCTGGTTCTCATCAGTTTTCCAAATGATATCAGTTGATGATAAATACTACCTTAAAAGTGTAAGGAAGAGATAAGAATTCAATAGTCTAACCTTATTTACTAACTATGTCGTTCAAAAAACTTTAGTCGTCAAGATTATTCGTTGCCTAGACATTATAATATCACTATAATGTCAATAAACTGCTTTAGTCATATGTTTTACTAGACATTTAACCGAGTACAAATAAGCTACAGATTATGCCGAACTCTTCATCTCTCATAGTGTAAATACAAGATATTTCAGTATGATAAGTTGAGCACTTAATTGAACTTCATTTTATATCACAAAGAATGAAGTTTGGTAAATGATTAAATTGATAGATTGGTGTCTGCTTTCAGCAAACAATCTTTTCCCTACTTTCATATTTGATGCTTTCATCTATTAGATATTCATAACCAATGGAGATAAAGAACAGGCTGTTACAAAAACAACCATCCAAATGTAGTGGAAGATAACCAATAGAAATCGAGTGATGGTGAAAATGCATTTCAATGATAGTAAGTAGAAAGTGCAACACCTCTAGACGGAAAAAATTGTGACATATATGTGCTTAACTATTCAGAAAATAGATAAACCTTATTTCGTTTTAAAAGAGATATAAGACAAAAGGTCAATACAACATCATGAACACCCGCCAGTATCGAGGTATTCGCATAGGAGACCATCTACCAACAGAGGTCGGGCAATTCGGCCCTACATAACAACGGGAAATTACAAGTATCATTACAACAACTAACACCTATTGCATAAGAGGTGGTTATCGTACCCCACTGGCTTAGTGAATAATGCTGTGGTGTTTGAAGCGAAGACTAATGAATTTAAATCTCAGTGAAGTGCAGATGTATCCGGCTGATGAGTCCCAAGTGGGACGAAAGGCGAGTCATGAATTCATCAGAATAGTTTTGAAAAAGACGATACTTGTGCACTTTGAGTTCAAGGGGAACTCAGCTAGTCAAGTTTTAAGAATAAAACCCATCTGGATTAGTCGGTTTCAAGATATTTTTTTGAAACAAAACTCTAAAAACTTTAACTACCATCTAAGCTCTAATTCATTTAAGTGACTGTGAGTAGTTTCATTCTAAGAACCATCTATTCCCCAGTAAAATTATTCTTTAAACTTTTATCAAGAATTCTACGGTCTACAACTAACATAAAGGGTACAAGTTGTTTGTAAGAGCATTGCTTTAGAAATGAAGTTTCATTTGAATACAAGCTAAATAATACATCCAGTCTAATGAAAAGAATATTCAAGAAAGACCTGAAAGTTGAGTTCGAACAATTTATGCATTATTTTCCCTTGTCAACATCTTGTTTACGCTTTACTTACAAGGTCTATCGGAAATGAATTGTGACAAGAGAAATACCAGCTAGTTTATAGATAATACCATATTGGTCAACACTGAAACACCTTCAATAGCCTTTGTAGAGTCTACTAAGAAAAGACTAGATGGAATATTTGTGTAATGAATTCTGGATAAAAACAAACTAAAGTTAAGTATGTTTTGTTATATTGGCTAAAAAGTGGTAAGCGTACATCTCAGATAACTGTTATTTGTTGTATAATTTTATTAACTTATGAACTAATCGGTAACACGATTGTAGAACTCGGTTCAAGAGCTTTCGATTGACCCCTCATTCATTTAAGCATGACTTATAGTTGGGTAATAATTGAGTGAAACGCATTGTTGTGCAATATCCTATACTTTCTAGTACCATTGCTTGTATTACACCGTCGTTGATTGGACCGAATTGATCGGTCTCTGTTGGCATATAGGCTGTTAGGCGGATGCCTCGATATTGCCTGTGCTTTTTTAACTATGTAGTAATGATGGATAGTGGCTAGCAGTGGAATCCAAGATGCCATTTCATCCGATTTGTGACTCGTCAGTTGGATGTATTTGCCTTCCAGTGAATGGTGTTGTTCCCACTGGGATTCGGACTCGGGACCGATCACTTCAAACGCCAGATCGTTATCCACTAGACCACCGAGCCACGATAGCCACTTCCTGTGCGACCGATGTAGTTTTAGTGTTATTGTTTGTATCATACGGTCGTTGAAGCGATCGGTCCCGAGTTCGAGTCCCAGTGGGAACAACATCACTCACTGGGAGGCAGATACATCCAACTGACGAGTCCCAAATAGGATGAAATGCGCATCTTGGATTCTACTGCTAGCCACTATCTATTATTACTATATAATTTTATACTTTGTGCTTGAAATCAGCTATTCCATTTTAATAAACGATGATGCGTTGTGGTCAAGTAATTTAGCTGTATATACAGATGAGTCAAGTCGCTTAAGATATACAGAGAGTAAACACCAGATTTTGTGCGCCATTGTAAGCGATTGCGGAGATGGGTCGAACTGCATGATCCATCGTATAGGTGAATTAAGTTTACAAGACTGGATAAGTATGCACCAGACTAATCACGTTCAAGGTCGGCGCCAAGATTAAATAGGTAGGATCACGTAAATCAGTAGATCAAACCCAGATAAAGTTATAACAATTTGCTCATGGCTTTAATTCACATATATAACACTGAAGCGTATACACAAAAGGATGAAATCACCTAAAATATACAGAAAATGAGCACCAGATGTTTTATTCTGTTATATGTAGTGGGGAGGGCCGAACTGAATGGAATAAATATACGAGACTGGATAAATATATTCAAGGTCAGTGTTAAAACTTATCAGCAGAATCATGTCCTTCAGACAAATCCAACTAGGCCTAGTTATAACTAACATGTTAGTAATAATAGTCTCTT